GAAGTGGGAGGGTGTGTTTTTTGTGTGTCTGTGTGTGTGAGCCGGCTACAACAGCTGCTTGAGGGGACAGGTAACTTATTAACAGCAAGACAGGAACAAAGGGCTCACTACACCTTGGCCCAAAACAGAAACCGATATTTAGAAATTGGCATCACTGTAGTCACTCTCACCTTGTGACTACCTGAGGGCCGATACAAAACCTCCTTCCTTGTGCATGCACACACTCGGACACTCGAGTGTGTCTCCGCATGTCTAGTAAAGAAGGAAACGGACACAAGCAGCACGCGCCTGGGTCACATGCAAACAATCAGCAATAAGCACTCGGCTGGCTCTGCTTAGGTAGCGCTGGTAAAAAGGAGGTGGTAGTCGCTCCGGCCGGCGACACGCTGAAAGCTGTAAAGAATAAAGCATGGACCCTCTGGAGGAATACTGCTCTCCGTTTGACTTTGAACAAGGAGTCAACACCAGCTATCTCTACCTCTCCCCAGCCTTAAGCGACACACCGCCCAGCTCGCCAGCTGTCAAAACCAGAGGTAATCACAAGGAGAGAAGGGAGAGGCCGAGTGAAGGGTGTGTGTTTTTCGTGTGTGCCTGCTGGATAAAAAGACAAAACATGGGTTTGGTTCATTGAACAGGAAGAATTTGGGGTGGGGGCACAAACTGGAGGGGGAGGGAACAAATGATGATTGTTGGCGATGCGTATGACAGCATTCTCTCAATTTAGATGTTTCTAGATCTCAGTGTCGATTTCAGACCATCATAACTCTTTTAAACTTCAGTCATAATTATGCTGCTGTACCACACGGCGCGCCGTGCCCTCACTGCTCTCCGTGTTTTCCTTCTTTTTCCTGGAAATGTAGAAAATAAGGATGCAATGACTGTAAAACTGTCCGTTTTTCTGTTTTGGGGAAAAAGAGAAGTATTCGCTGCAGTAGTTTAAAGTTATTCAGCTCTTTATCACGCTGTCTTTGAACATTTATCCAATTGAGTTAGATATAAACAGAAAAAGACAGAACAAGACGGACACAGAGTGAGGTACACAGGACACTTTGTACCATAAGTTATTGGGTGACATTTTTTGCAACGTCCAGTACAGACTGTCCATATCAAGTTGTGCTTTGATTTTGTCTCATTTTTACAATTAAGCCTTTCCAACGAGTTCTCACAGGCAGCAGTGTTCATCATCTGTTCCCCAACCATCATTCCTCCCATTATTACAGACTCATTCAGCTGCGGTAGGGACCTCCTGTTGTCATGGTACCTGGGTCTGTGAGCCAGGATTTCAAGTTTTGTGTGAATTCATTATTCTTTCCTTTGCGTCATGAAGATGATTAAGAGTTTTAGTTTTGTACGGTTTAGTCTTGAGTTTGGTTCTTTCTAGAGTCTCTGAGTCTGATATTAATTTCCTTTCATGTCTCGTCCCTGTGTTCCGTCCTCGGTGTCTCCTGTGGATGTCAGTCTTGTTGTCATGTCCCGTTGGTCATAGTCTGCGTCTCTATGTTCTGTCTTTAGCGTTTCCTTAGGTTCCCCTGCCTGTCTTATGTCTTCCTCTCCCTCTCTCCATGTCTTAGTCATGTCTCTGTGTTCTGTCTCCTGTACCTGTTTCCATGTTCTTTGTCTCCCCACTCTGCCACGTGCTTCCGTGTCCGTTTACCTCCTGTCCTACTGTCAAGCTTTCATGTCCTCGTCTGGGTCGCTATGTGTATGTCACTTCCTGTTTTATTTTGACGGTGCCTCGTCTCATGTGTGTTATGCTCAGTTTTGCTTCTCCTGTTCTGTTACTCAGATTTGTTCCAGCTGTGTTTCCACCTGTTGCCCTTCCCCTCGTTGTCCTGTGAATTAAATTCCTCATCTTCCTCTGTTCCTTGTCACGACATCATCAGCTCCCTAGCTGTGTGCGTGCTCCATGTGTCTTACTGTTCTCAGGTCCTCGTAGTTTCTGTTCATGCTGAGGTTTTTATGCCTCAAGTTCTTTAACGCTAGCACTGTTGAAAGTTGCAAATAACACAGAATGGGTTTAGTGCCTCGACGCAGCTGGATGCTTCTTTTAATACAAGCTCTAATTCTAAGTATTTCCTTAAGAGGAGAGTTTTGATTGTAGGTATCCGGATCGCTGACTGTCACATTTCCTGTCGTGTTCGCTTGCGTGTTTGTTTACATAATAAGGTGGCCAATATTTTAGGCACCACGATGTCAGAAAAAACCGCACGTATCAGTCAAGTTGCCGCTTTCATATTAAATGTCATCATTTTACCCTGCTGAGCATTTATGCTAAATTTCCTTCTAATTGGTTATGGTTGACAGTGTGCTCGGTGACCTTTAACCTTTGACTAACAGTATTAATTCACTCTTGAGTCCAATTAAACCTCTGTGCAAAATTGATGAAATTTCCATGAGGCGTTTGAGGTAGGTCGTATTTATGAGAATAAGTTTGACAGAGAGAGAGAGAGATGGAAAATCTTAAAGGATGTTCCTCGTCATGTTTGGAGCTGTTTGTGTGCAGACACACACACAAAAGTGTGCAAGGATTGAGTTTGATATAACTCAAATGAGACAATAGAGCCCATTAAGGTGAACAAATAGCTTCCTATGCACACTGTCATTCTTATCTTATTCTTTCGTAACATTCTGGTTGTGTAATACAACTTTATTGATTCCCATGTTTATTGGTGTGTCGTCTGGCCCTTTATGAAAGCTGCATTAGCGTGGTTACCGCTATTCGATGACTAGGCGACATCGCTGCTTTCCTTTTGGGTCGTTATCACAGGAAAAGAGGGACAATCAAAAAGCTCGTGGTCTTTATTTAAGTGCACGTCTTCGTCGTTGCTACAGTACTGACAGACACACAGTTGGGTGCTCATAGGGCAGGATTGTTAAGAGGAAATGAGCTCAAACCATAGAGGTTGGGCAGGGATGTGGGTGAGTATGCAGTTTGATGTCGCAAGCCAAACTTCTGCCTACACTCGCATATAAACTTCTCTATTTGTTTCTCTCTCTGACTCTCCCTTTGTTTCTTTTTTTTCCTCTCATGCTCTTAGCACCTACTGATGGAAACACACCTACAAGACATTTACAGAGGTGCCCAGAATTTTACATAACCCGATGTGCTTGAAGAAAATGAGTTCCTGAGCAGCATATTGTAGGTTATCAAAACATTATGTGTACTAAAATTTAAAAAAAGGGTGGTGTATTATTTTTTTCTTTATCTGGCTGAAGCACAGCCGTTATAACAGGAAGTGTCTATTGCAAAATTGTGATGTTGTAGTACGCAGGTTTGTCTGCATATATGGTGTCAGTGCTGTATCACTAGTAGAAAGAAGAGGGGGGTAAATTCAAAAGAGAGTGGAAAAGAGCTTAAGGGCAGATGAAGTGAAACACCCCACAGGAACAGAGGGGGTGATTTCAGGACTGAGATCTAAATGAGAATTTCCTCTGTGCTTCTTTTTGCCTGATTACCATAATGCCCATCTCCGTTTCCTCGTCGAAACGATTTGCCTCGGATTTTCACTTCTCTCGCCAAAGCGTGTTTTGACATATAAATATTTGCACTTGTGAGGTGTCCAATCCGCTCGCCTTGTCCCCTGGCGTTAATTAAATGTAAAAGGAGAAGCAATTAATGGCACGACTCCCTCAGCTCGTGATAATAATGTGTGTTTTGAAGGCAGAGGAACGTTATTTCATTAACGGCTCTCCAGACGGCGTGAGGCAATCCCGCTGTCTTTGTGGGAGTGTGCACTGCTAGATTTATGTGATTTTTTTTTTTTTTTTCCTTCTCTTTTTTCTGTCTCCATCTCACGTTTTCACAGTGGTCTGCATCGAAAGAGAGAAAGGGAGTCCTCAGTATTTGGAATGAAGTGGGAGGAGGAGGCTGGAGATGAAGATGTATTTCAAGTACCATTCCTTTTGGCGAGATTGCGCGTTTCACCGCAGCCTCCGTGTGGAAACAAAATGTATCACCAGCTAAAATTATGTTGTGCGTTTTGCTGTTTATGCCAAATCCTGACCCCAGCTGGCTGACAGCTCAGTCACTGAGAGGAACATTTCCTATATTCAGGCAGTGAACAGGTCAAACTAAAACAATTGGCTGCTGGCTGCTTACGTGACCACCTTCAAATGCACTTTTTCTTTTTAAATCCTAAATAATAATAAGCAGCTGCAAATACACAGAAGCTGCACCTGATGTCTTCATTTCACTCTTGCACTATTACATATATTTCACTGTTATTACATAATTATTACAACCCCAGTCTGCTGAGAAAATTGCACATGGCCAAATTCTCTTACTCGTTAGGTTGAGCCAACGCTTTAATGAAACTTACACTCTTCTCTGTTTTGTGTGATGGTTCTGCCTCCACGCTGAGGTAACAACACTGTATGTGTATGAAGTTCACTCCAGCAGTTCCTTTTTCTTGTATTCTTCCCCTCACACTGAGTTATTCAGCTCTGGGGTTTCCCCTTTTTCCTTTTTTTTCTTCATACTCTCCTATTTTGGGTTTTGTGTCTATACTTTAACTTCCTTGAAATAATTTGACTAGATACCAAAAAAAAATAATGACCTCAGGGAGAGATTTTTGTTTCCCCTATTCCAGCTCACTTCTGGCCCAGAACATCCTTATTGGGTGTCGTACTTTTGTTTCACAGATCCCAACAACTCCTCCTCTCACACTGTCTGAGCCGAGGATGTCTCTATCTAGAAAGTCCTTTGTATTATTGATGCGCTCTTGTTCCTGCTGAGCACAGCTCTGTCAGAGTCATCAACATCCAAGACAAGCTTGTACTCTATATGCCGTGTGTGTGTGAGGGAGATGGTATAGCTGGTCTGTGCAGGAAGAATTGTGGAAAGCTTCACTCCTTAATCTCTGTCACATGTTAAATCACCAGACATGTCTGTGCATCTTTAAAAAGAGATCACTTTATTAAATTTTGCACTTCTTGCTGAGTAAAAAACATTGTTTTCTTTTCTTTCTTTCTTTCTTTCTTTTCTTTTTTTTACCTCCCAGGTTCCCAGGGCCATCCGGACTCGGTCCCAGAGGTTGGAGAGGATGCAGTGACGTCTGTTGGCGCTGCGTCCTCAACAACACCCGACTTGACAGAGGAAGAGCGTCAGGAGCTGCAGGAGGAGCTGGCTAAGGTCAGGAGGGGTCAAAGATTTAATAGAAGAGATGTTGGTCTGAGTGAGATAAACATTCACGCTCCCAGTTTGGGATAATCAGTTAACCTGACATGATGGACTGTGGGAGGAAGCCAGAGTACCCAGAGAGAGCCCACGCATGGGGGAACATGCCATGCTCTTTAACCACTGAGAAGCTAAGTTCAGGCCTTTTCACTTAAAAAACGGTTCACAGCTATTTAAAACAGCTGAATGTTGTTGCTCCAGGACCAGACCTGGTGGCGCGTGTACTAACGGCTCGGTCCTCTCTGCAGCTGCCTGGGTTCGATTCAGCCTCAGGGCCTTTGCTGCTGCCTGTCACCCGCCCTCTCTGGCTCCATGCTGTCCTGTCCGCCTCTAACAGATAAAGGCTAAAAGGCTCAAAAAATAATTTTTTTTAACGACTTATTTGGAGAACAGTCATTCTGTTCAGTTGATTTAAAGTATTTTGATGAAACGGCTCATTTGTCGAGGAATGTATTTACTGCAGATTTAATGAGATAATTTGTATTTGTAACAGCAAAACGGTGGTGTTTATGGGGACTGGCTCCAAATAAATTGGAAATGTCGTTACGGTCATGCGGTTAAACAATGGTGGAGTTTTATGACCTGGAAAAAATGTGTTTTGAATTTGGGTCTTTTTATAATGGCAAATACTGGATGAGCCAGACTTTACATGTTGGGGTACAGATTTATATGTAGAATCAAATATGACGTCTGTGTGAGCGCGCGCACGTGTGTGTGTGTGTGTAGGTCGAAGATGAGATCCAGACTCTGTCCCAGGTGCTGGCATCCAAAGACAAGCAGCTGACTGAAATTAAGAGGAAGCTGGGCATCACTCCTCTTAATGAGCTGAAACAGAACATCACCAAAACTTGGCAGGAGGTCACTGCCTCCACTGCGTAAGTACTGAGCTGCGCGCTTTTCACGATGCCTTCATGTCAGCCGACTGAAAGCGTTTGCTAAAGACTTTTTGTAGTATTTTTGTCCTTTTCCCGTCCTGATCGAGAGCTTTCTTATGCATCAACCCTGCACGTTTTCTCTAATTGCTCTGAAAATACGGATAACTGTCAGCGCTGTGGAGAAAACGCTCTTTTTGCGCTGAACGAGGAGAAAGCTGTCAGTGCTCCTGACAGGCTGCCCGTGACCTGTTTGAAATTGTTCGGTGGGATTCACATTGAAGGAAATGAGCAGCATTCTGATGCTCTCCGGCTTTTCTTTAAAATGAAAAAGACACTGAAGTTTACTTCTGACCTTGACGTGTCTCTTCAGGCTTTGATCCTTCAGTCTCTTTTCATCACACTCATATCCTTTTTTTTTTTTCTTTTTTTTTTGGCCGCCCATCACTCCTCTTTCTCTCTCTCTCTGTTTCAGCTATAGGAGGACTTCTGAAACTCTGTCTCAGGCGAGTCTGAAGGCTACAGCAGCTTTCACAAATATGGGCTCAGCCATCACCCGGAAGCTCGAGGATGTCAGGTGAGTCAGACGGGGAGATGTCAGCGAATCATATTTTGTAATCCTTTGAAAAGCCACAGTAAAAATGGTTCCGCTGTGCTGCACCTGTCCATCATATCACATGTGATAGAAATGTGTTCCTGTAGCGGTTAGAAGGCCTGAGCTCCTCTTTTCCTTCTGTCCTTCCTCAGCGTTTTAGAGACCACACTCCTGTCTTTCTTTACTAACCACTAACAAAACTCATTTTAACAAGATTCAGAGTCAGGACATGTTTTTAAGGTGACAACTTTAAAACTGGGGACAGTGTGAGACAGCTCGCCTGCTTCCGTTCATAACGCACCCGCAGGCCCACATGAAACACATCTTTGTTTAAAGCATAAGCAGTGGCTTCCATATCTCCTGTATATCCATATTCTGCCTTTGTTTGTGTTAAACAAATGAGAAACGTGCGATAATCAGCATGGAAACAGCAGAAGTGGGAGTAACTTACAGCATTGCTTGGCTTTTGCAGGTCACACTATACGTCTAATAAAGTTAGGTAAGACTGCTCACTTATTTAAGGCCAGTTAAAGGAGAAATAAATCTTATTTTTTCTTTTCATACCATCTTTGTGAAATGTGTTTGAATGTGGGACTGCAGGGGTCGTTCTTCTGATCGATTTCAATTTGCATGAATGACTTGGACATTTTCTTGTATTTTGTTTTTTTTTTTTTTTTTTTTTTTTTAAATCAAATTCTGCAGAATGAACTGTAATCAGGGGTGTTTTTATGCACTAATGTGTTTTATTTAAATCTAATTAGCCTGTTGCACCACTTTGACCAGCTTCTTATTAAAGGGCATATGTCCTGGTGGGTTAGGTGTCAAACTGTGCGTTCAGAGCACCAAACGCAGCACTTCCTGTGAATTATTCCTGATTAAACCCGACTTAAAAAAAAAAAAATCAACAGCAGATTGTTGCATTTGAGATGTATCTCTTGTTGATCCTCCCTCTCGTGTCTTAGTGTGTCTCCCCTCCCCTGTCATCCTTCTCTCTGGATTACTGAGCCGCAAACAAGATCATTAGTCCTCTCAAAGCTGCAGTGTGCTGAGAAGAGCAGCCTTAAAGCCTCGGGGCTGGTTGCCATGGGGGGGTGAGGGCTACTGAGGGCCTGACAGGGGTCAGAAGGGTGTGTGTGTGTGTGTGTGCATGTGTTGTCCTTTTGTGTGTGCGTGCGTTTGATGACATGATACTCACCCATAACTCACAGGATTAACACGTACCCGCTGTGTTAATACACAATCAATCTTAATTGGATAAAGTGGGATTTATAGGATTTATGCACTCGGTAGAATAAATGAGGGTTTGTGCTGTATGTTGTGCTCTCTCGCTCTGTGCACGCTCTGCTGCCGCTGTGCTAAGATGACCACTAACACTTCCTTCTTTTCTCCTCAATAACGCTGTCGGATAGCGTAAAGTCATTGCAGCACTCGGCTAGCATGCCCGTCATGAGGTAAGAGAACCCGAACCAGTTCGTGTGAATGTTGGAGGCTGCTCAGTGTCTGTGGGCAGCAGTAGACAGACAGAAGAGCATGTTTCCTGTTAAATAAAATAAGACCTGACAGCGTACCCTAATAATACCGAGAGACCGCTGGTGAAAGCCACTTTATCTGCTATCAGTGAAGCTGCAGCTTTAATAATCTCGCTCCGCCAGGCCGCTGCTGTTTCGTCAGGCTCAGAGGTTTAACAGAAATCTAAAAAAAAAAAAGAAGAAGAAAATATGAGGATGCAGGGAAACGCCCACCTGCACAAACTGCTCGCCTGGTTTTTGTTTTTCTGCACTTGGAAAGAAAGTTCTGCCCTAAATATGGCTCTGCTGTCACAAAACCTGGACGCACACACGTAACCAGGTTTTGAAAGAACTTTATATTTACAGACCAAATAAGAAATAATCAAAAATTTCTCCCGGTGAATCCGAAAGTTCAGCTCGAGAGCGCACGCACACGAGAGGCTTTTCGGAAGACTGTCCTCTCGCCCTCTTCGCTCTGTATTCCCTTTGTGTGTTTGCATGAAAAACAAGCCCTCTTAGCACTTTCTCAGCTGAACAGAGAAGAATGGGGTCACTTTAGAAAATCCCGCATTGTGTGTATCGAGTATCAGATAACATGACCTTTAAAGGCGGTGCTTGCAGTGGGTGTCCTGCTCTATTTTCCTTTTGAAAGGAAGACGTGTCTGCATCTCGTCTGGGTGTGATTATGTGTGATAACTTCAGTCATTTTTTTTTTCTTCTCTCCTCTCTGTCTTCTGTCTTTTTCCTTTCATAGAAACGCACCAACCTTCAGGTCGTTTGAGGAGAAAGTAGAGACTCTGAAGGTAACGGCTGGATAAAGGACCTTGATGCCGTCTGCAGACGTGCCTGTGTGGATGTAGAATGGCTAGGAGTCAGAAACGCACCATTATTCTGTGCACAAACTGTATTCCACTGCATTTTGGCGTCACGCCGCAGTAATGAGGTCGCGTTCAGTTCGTCTTCTTTTCAGTGTCCGTGAAAAGAGGACTTCGGCTCTTAAATAACTTTTTAATCAAGATTTAAAGTGGGCCTTTGTGGCTTCTGAGAGCACACGGTGTCCTTGGTTTCTTAGTTAGATCCAGCTGTCGCTCCACATGTCTGGTTTAAATAATAAAAATTAGATAGTGGATGTCAAAATGCTCAATTCAAGGCCTTAAAAAACAGTGGGTGATGTCAGATGCCCTCCCTGAATCAGTCCTGCCACTTATCCAGGCTTGGGACCAGCACTAGGGGTACAGGAGCTTTATGAACCCTCCTTTAGCAATAAAGGCTTTCAGTGTCCTTCATATCCTTAGTAGTGGAAGCTGTGACATTATTTGACTCATTCAGGTCACAAAAATGTTGTGCAATATAAGTTCCCAGAGTTATTTAAGGGTCATGTAACACTCTCACTGTTTTCAGCCTGGTTGCGTGTGACTGAATGTCGATGTATCTCCTACCGCATGGCAGGAGTTCGATGAGACGGTGTGCAGGGTGGGTTGGGTATCTGGTGACGTTAGTGGTCCTGTTTATGTAGCGGGCCTAGAAGATGTCACTGACTGCAGGTAGCTGGATCCCAATGATCTTATCATCCCAATTAGTGACCCACTGTGCACTGGTCTAAGTTAGTGGTGAGAAAAACACATTTCTGTGCTCTGGATGAGTCAGAAAATATCACACCTTCCACTACAAAGGATATGAAGCACAGCTTCTGTGCACACTCACATAAAATGATCCCCTTGAGTGCCCTCTACGGAAATCTGAGAGGTTGTCAGATGGTGATCATAAAATGATGGTTAAAAATATGCAGGGATTATAAAAATATAGCAGTATAATGCAATATGTTGCACTAAATGTGATGAGTTTAATGCTGCAGAAAATCTTTGATCTTGGGATTTAGCGTGCAGTTGAGTTAATTATCTTAAAGCTGAGCGCGCTCTCAGTGCTGCTTTTTTTAAAGGTGATGGCTTCACTTAAATATTCCTTTATTTAAACATTAAATGTTGCCGCAGCCTAATAAACGAGGCCTGATCAAAGTCAGCGGATCAAAGTGAGATTCATTTCACTGGTTGTACAGATGCTGGTGTGTGCTCTCTGTTCTAGTAGCTGTAATTCCAGCAGAGTAAAACCAACGTTGTTTTCTTTCCTCCTGCCTCAGACCAAGATGACCCCATCACCATCCACCAGTGAGACCGGCATCCAGGACGGCGGTGATTCTCCAACCGCCGAGGCTTCGCTCAATCAGCCAGACAACTCGCCCTCCCAGGAGGAGCCGATGCACTGAGAGGGCCTAACCACTCTTGAGCCCTCCCCAGCCCCTCCTCGCTCTCTCTGTCGACCCTCTAACCCCCCC